GGGTTTCACCATGTTGACCAGGATGGTCTCGATCTCTTGACCTTGTGATCCACCCGCCTCGGCCTCCCAAAGTGCTGGGATTACAGGCTTGAGCCACCGCGCCCGGCCTAAAAAATGTAGTATCAACAACCTACTTACCAACAAAAAGCATTTTCCAGAGTTCTTATATAATGGATTTTTAGCATATGGGGGTCATTACTGAAAGAACATGGATGTTCCTGATGCAAGGAGAAAACACGTATTTGCAGCCTTTTCAGAATTACTACTACTGAATATCCTAGCAAAAGAAACTAATACGAAGAGAAACTTACCTTCTCAATATTTCCGTATAAGCAGAATAGGTTGAAGACTCTTGAACAATTCATTTTTAGTTGATGTAATCCACTAACCATTACAACTGAACCAGAGGGATTTCCTCCATGCATGTAAGAGGAAGAAGCCTGTGGTAATGGATAAGCAACAAGCTCAGGTGTATCTCGAGAGCCCATTCTGTAACGACTTGGTAAAGGCAATAATGGACCATGGGATCCTACAAAAATGATCAAAATAAATAAATAAATAAACAAACATATACATACAGTTATGTTTCTAAATACTTTATTAGATATACTGCACCACACAAAAAATAAACTTTTAACATTAGAGCTAAGTTTGATGTACAAACAAAACTCAAAAGTATTAATATTTAAGTATAACCTGAGGAAAATTAATAAAATCTATATTCATTTGTACCAGATCCAATATATGTTGACCTATACCTGTATACACGAAGCTATAAGTTTATATTTTTAAAAAAATGGTAGCTTAACAAAAAAGGCTTTGGGGAGGTAAGAAAATGAATATAAAATCTGGGGCCAACACATATAAATTATACATCAAATTTTAAAATAAACTTCCTGTCAATGTCTTTTGGAGGAATAGTAATATTACATGTACAGTAAAATCTAGGAAGCTATCTCTATACAGATACAACAAAAAACATCTTCAGTTCCACTGAAAAGTTGTTTCCTTGAATGTATTTTACTATGTAGTTTCAGGTTGACTTCTTTTTCCCCTAATTCTAATTTAGGAAATTAAAACCTAGATTTAGTTAATACCCCAACTACACACAGGTGTCTTATTACTCTACAACTTCCATTTTTTGAAACAATATCAAGAACCCAGAAAGAAATAATCTCTGAGTATCTAAAACTATTTTAGCAGAAACACACACACACACACACACACACACACACACACACACACACACACACACATCTATGTCTCTTACACTGAGAATCCTCATTAAGAATCAACTTGCTAACTTCAGAGTAGCTTTAAACAACTTTATCTGTTTTTTCCCATCCACAACATAAGTAACAAAAAATAAAGCTAGAGCATAGAATAAAAAGAAATGAGGGTGGAGAAACTGTGACACTAAAAGTAGGCATAGGGCACATTTTATAGCAGTAAGAAGAAAGGCAAAGGAACTCAAAAGCAGCAAGATGGAGACATGCAGCTTAGAAACAGAAACCCTTCACATCTTAGGTGCTCCTAATTATAACAGAAGCATTGCCTGGGGTACATGCAAAGGTCACCCTGATGTGCAAAACCAATCCAAAAACCCCAGTCCGTTCTCCATTTCTCAAGAAGTAAAAAGTATGTTATGCCACTGAGTTGCACTTGTATATAGGACTAAGAGACACCTGTCATCTATCTACTAGTGAGTTACTAAGAACTATTAAATTTTGGTATTCATAACATACTATTAGAGCTTATGATGGACTCAAATTTTCAGTATTCTAATCACAGCTGCCATTCATAACAACACAGTAACACTACCATTAAGCACATGAAAACAGTGTGAATTTCTGCAATTTTAGGGAGGAATACCTTATCAATGCATCATCATCAGTGTTTCCTTAAATTGGTCATGGATTTCAACTAATCCTTTTACTGGCAATTGGTAGTTTAACAAAACAATCAATATGAGTGACTGGTTAGTAATTACATATTTTGGCTTCTAATTTAGCCTGTATACATATACCAAGATTCAAATATCATTCTTATTCCTACTGCAAAAGTACATATACGTAATATACTGCCTCCCCAACACCTACCATTCGCTTGTACAGTGATGACACTTCACTAATTATTTTCATGGGCAGTAGAAAGACACGTGGTAGATGGGCAGTGGAAACTTTGCGTATAGTGGCTAAGGTCCAAAACCTTTGAGATCTACTGCCCTAAGTCACAACCAAAATCAGTGCAAAAGAGTAACTGATGTTTGTAATTATGGCTTTGAGACAACATTATTAAATTATCTATACTATTTAGATTATTACCTATATTGTTTAAGATGAGAAAAATTCTAAGTCTTTTAAAAGTTTTCTATATTAAATTGATAATGCACAAAGTTTGGGTGTTTAAAAAAACTAATGCTAGGGAGGGGCAGGGAAAAAAAAAAAACTAATGCTTCACATATTTAAAAAATTCACTTGGCCAGGCACAGTGGCTCATGCCTATAATCCCAGCTATTTGGGAGGCCAAGGCAGGCAGATCACCTGAGGTCAGGAGTTCAAGACCAGCCTGGCCAGCATGGTGAAACCCCATCTCTACTAAAAAAATACAAAAAATTAGTTGGGCACAGTGGTACCCGCCTGTAATCCCAGCTACTTGGGAGGCTGAGGCAGGAGAATCACTTGAACCCAGGAGATGGAGGCTGTGGTGAGCCAAGATCGTGCCACTGCACTCCAGCCTG